TATTATTATTATTATTATTGCTAATAATGAATGATCGTAATAACCATATCTTCTATTGTTCGGTCAGTATAATAATTTTCTTCTGAATTTAGCGGAAGTTAAAATGAATTATTTTGAGATTTTCTTCACATATCTTCCTCCCTCCCAAATTCTCAAACATACATTTTATCATACATACACGTTATACAAACGTATATAGACACGTTTTTAATTATAGAAATATACATGCAAACATACGCGCGCATGAATGGAATATTGTAAACATGATCATATTTCAGTGTATCAGCGTAATGTTATCATGTTTCCTATAGAATATATTTTCGTTTTTATATTTGGCAACATTTTATTTAAGTGACATTCAAGCATGTACGAATCAATTGATCTGTCGAGCATAAGACTAATTAGAATTTCAAGATTTAAGATAGAAAAATAATAATACATAATTAATAATTTATAAATAATATAAGCTTAAATAATTAGATTATTATTGTCTGAAAATTTAACGAAATTTTTCTTTTTTTTTTTTTTTGATGTAATATTTTTTATAGAATGTTGAAAAATTTTGAAAATATTGAATACAGAAAAATCTAAAAAAAAAAAAAATAAAATATTGAGAGAATATAGAAAGAATTTTATCCAATGTTTTATTTATACGAGAAAGAAATATAGCACGTGCTTCAAGAATGTTGTTACAACATCTACTATTATATAATCTGTTAAAAGCAAATTAAAAGTATTTTATGAATTGTAACATAATTTGTACAGTCTAATCTATTTTTTGTAAATTTAATTTATTACGAATATTTTTTTTATTTGTTAGAAATCTTAAACGTGTAATATTTCTTGACTCTACTTTTATATTTTATATTCGTAAGTGATCTTTAAACAATTGATTTGCATAAATCATGATAATCGTTTTTATTCGGTGGTGATTTTTTTCTAAATCGATTGCATTAATCAACTGATTTATTTTTTGCACAAACATTATATTTTTGATTTTTTGATAAGCACAGAAATAATATAATTGGTAATTAAATATTTTTCTAATATATAAGGAAAAAACGAAATTTTATAGAAACAGAATTGGTTCAAATTCGAACTTGAATTTCTTCGATACCGGATATAATGTTGAGAGGTATGTGTGGGATTTAAGTTATTGATTTTCTGTTTACAAAATGATTGATATACGTACAAAAATATTATTTGTTTGTTTCATTGTCTTCTCTTAATGGATTGTAACACACATATTTATTTTATATATTTTTTTTTAATGTAAACAAAAATTTTAATTGAAAATTTTCCTTTAATTTTTACATTGAACTTAAAACGGAATAGTTCTTTTTCTAAATTCTAATTAATTCAATAAAAAATATATATTTCATATGTTACAATCCAATGACATATATTACTGATAGAAAAATTATCTATTATGTAAATTGTACGTCTTTATTGAACTACTAAACGTGTCCGAATTTTATAAAAAATTTTAAAAAGATGTCATTAAAAAGTATATAACATTTATGATTTTTTTCTTTGTCATTTATCGTAGAATAAAAAACAAAAAGTAAAATTCGCACACGTTCTAATAAATAATGTTTGGTAAAATGTGACTAACATTGTGGTGTAAATTCTTTTTAATTTGTGATCACATTTCGTTTATTCTCGATTTTTTGACTATCGACTTCATGAATGTTTTTTCCTATTTAGAATATATATATGTGTATTTCATTGTTTGACATTCCCAGTCATGTCTGAAAAATGAACATATGCAAATTACTTATAAAAATATTATGTATTTATGCTAAATAATTATAAAAAAAAACTCTTCTAAAAAAAGTCAAATTTAAAAAAATTTAAATGCAATATTTTTTATTTATTTTATTACTTTTTTTTAATTTTCTTTTAAAAATTTTTTATACTCTTCTTTTTTTCTTTCTGTTTCTCTGTTAACAGAAATTCATGCATACTCTTTATGTAAAATATCGCACCGCAATGTTGAAATCATATTACTGTGTGTACAATCCATACCTGTTGGATGTCGCTCAATCATCTAATTTCGATACTTCTTGATCTCAAAACTCTCTTTCAATTTATAATTGATTTTCTAACTATAAATCTTTCTACCATATTTGTAAACTGTGCACATGTATACATACGCATATATACACGAACACATTCTTAACGAACAATGTATGTATACTATTGTGTAATGAATATAAGAAACACGCAAAGAAGCGATAAATAACACACAAATACGCATTTTTTGCACCGACGTACTAACACAACTTTCATTGTGACGTCCACTAATGTAATTTATACGATCGTGTATATGTAAGATCAGTACTGCTTATTGTGATTCTATTTCGTTTATATGTACTCTATATATATATATATATGTTTTTAAATGTTGCGCAGAAAAATTATGTTAGAATTACAGTATATTAGTATTGCTGTCATTTTTTATTTAATTTCATTATAAAATAAAAATAATAATTTTGGAAAGAATTAAAATAATTAGAAAGTAACTGAAATATGTTTTTCAAGATTATTTTTATTGATCATAATTATAATATGAATTTTATTCGATAATAATATTAAAAAACCTCAAATATTGATAATAATTTAATATTGGTACAGGATATTCCAATTATAGAACTCATCTTGAACATATTTGCTACTTATGCCTTTTAAAAATAAAATGAAATTTTAATATAATTCTTTAATGATTATTATTGTTTTAATCGTATTGTTATTAATTACAGAACAAAATATTTTATGAAAATATATTATTTATAGGTTTTGAAGTTTTAAAAGAGAAATTTATATAAAATTGAAAAAAAAATTAAATTAATTATGATTTTAGAAAAAAAAATAAAACTTTTGTAGAAACATTGCATATTGTTAAAAATATTTTTTAATAAAAATATGCATATTGAAGTAATCATTGATAAGACATATACAATTCTGGTAATTTTTTAAAAGAATTATGTGATACAAAAGTCACGAATCGTTCTCAAATACAAATAAAGAGCTTTGAAATCTAGAGATTTTTAGTAACAAATAAACAATGCATAAAACAACAAAATATCTTATATATGCACGATCGTATTTTGTCCTTTGTAGAAATGCCTTATTGTCACGTGCCTCGATTAATAATTAAACTGTTCACCTGCTTACTAATTACTTGTTAGTGTACGTAACAAGAAATATGTACGTGTAATATCGCGTTATTCTTTGTACTGCTCTTGTAAATATATTCTAAACGATTACTGTCATCATGTGTCGTCTATGAAATTATGCATTTTTTTTAGATATCCTATTTCTCCTCGCTCTGCTTCCTCACTTGCTCAAGTTGCCAAAATGAACCCTTTATATTATAGAGAAAAAATTATTTTTATTTTATTCATTTCTCATTTTTGACATAATTATTTATATTTACATCGTTTCTTTTAATATGATTAGGAGAAATTTTTTTAAGAATAGAATTAATTTTTTTTTTTTTGCATTCAAAATACATAATATAATACTTTTTTTTTTTTATAGAGAATGTTGACCTTTGTCAACTAATGCATTATTGATTTTTGCAGCTCCTTTTATGTCTTCTGATGATAACAAAAAAAGTTAATAAAAAATTTTTATCTGAAAAATTATTTAATATTTTCAAAAACAAACAAAATATTTTAAACAAAATGAAGTGATTCATTCTGTTTCTAAATTCCTTGACAATTAAATAAATTATAAAAAAATACTTAACATCATAATTGTGACAACTTTAAAAGATATATAAGTAAAAAATAAATATTTTTAAAATTAGACAAAATATAAAATTAAAAAAAATAAAAAATATAAAAAAAAAAGTAAGTAGTTTAATAAAGATAAATAAGTATTTAAGTATTCTATAATGTTATAAATAAATGTAAATAAAATATAAATAAAAATTGTTGACACCGACTTTTTTGCGTTATATTCTCTTAATATAAAATTTTTAAATTTACTAAAAATTCTAAATAAGTGCTTGAAAATTTTTAGTAATTAAATTATTTTTTAATTTTTTAATTTTTTAATAAAATTTAATATCATTTTTAATATTTTTACCAATTCGGCTTTAAATAAAATTGAAATATTAAAATTTTCAGTTATGTCAAATGTTAAAAATTTAGTTATCTCAGTTAGATTCTCTTAATAAAAAGTCGAAAATTTGATCAAAAATTTGATGCTAAAAAATTTCAGTTATGTATTATATTTAGAATATAATTCAAATAACACGCAAAATTCTTCCAGAAATTTCGGGATAGGAATTTTTGTGATATTATATTTATTTTTTGCATATTTACTATTATTATAGTTTTTTTTATACAGTTTTTTTTTTTAATAAGTAATCATTTTTTCATAGTTTATTTAATTCTAGAATTATTAATTATTCTAAATATATATTTTATACATATTTAGAATAGAAGCTATCATTTTTTTATCATTAACTAAAGTTGATATATTTTGATATTTTCTATAAAAAAATATCGAACTATGTAAATCAAAAAATTATTAATATAAAAAATAATTGAATGTAATTAATATCTCTAAAAGAGATAAAATAGATAGCGCTGATGGTCAATTCTCACCTTATATTTATCTTTCTCTTATTATTTAATTTCTAACTCTATTACCTATATTTTTTGGATGATTTATTTTATCTTTTCGTTTTCAAAAAATCCATGTATCTGTTTATAAATAAAAGATCTGTGAATTCAAATTATATATCGTTTTAATATATATATTTATGAAAGAATGAAAGATTTTAAGTATTTTTAAAATCTAACTTTATCAACATTTGTGATTGAATTGAATATAATTCTTACACTTGTCACAAATAAAATAATTCTTATACTTTTATAAAGAAATCATGAACTAGATATAAGAATCTTATATATCTTTCTATAAAATACTCTTATTTATTCTCACTCTAATTTATAATATTATTACATTTACTAATCAAAAATGATTAATTCCATTTTATTGTCCGTACTTTTTTGAAGAGATGGCGCTACTAATTATGTGCTAAAAGTACCTTGTCTTGTAACAAAACTTTAATTCTAATATAAAGTTATGTGTTTCGAGCTGAAGTTTTAAAATCTAAATTCTTGTCTTTATAATTATATTCAATTAATGAAGCAATAGTATCGTTATTTAATTGTTATTTAGTTGTGATATTAATAAAGTGAGATATGGTTGTTACGAAAAATTTTCAGCTTCCTTCGGACGAAGAATTAAATACTCAAGAAATAAACATCAGTTGGCCATATATTCATGCTGCTGCTGTATTTCTTGGAAAAAGATGCGAATGGTTTAACAATGTATGTGTATTTTTTTAAATTTTTATTTTGATTTTTTAAATATTTTATTTGATTTTAATCTCATACATTTAAAGATTATGTAATCTTAATAGATATTATTGAATGAATTAATGATAATAAAAAATGAAATTATTATTCTTATTTTAGAATATTTTATAATATTTCATTTATTCTGAATCATTCTAAATATATAAATGAAAAATTATTATTTTTAATCAAAATAACATTGTATTTTTAGGAATTTATGTTATGTAGATATGAATTAAAAGATCCTCGTAAATGTTTAAAAGAAGGAAAAGATGTAACTAAATGTGCATTAGAGGGATTGCAAGATATCAAGAAACACTGCCAAAATGAATTTGAAGCACATGTAAATTGTGTTGTAGAAACATCTGCAACAGGGAGCAATGATAAACAGTATGTTCATAATATTACAAATTTATCATTTGATGTTGATTAAAAGACTTTTTATATAAAACTTTATAATTAATGTTTAAAATCTTAATTATTAATCATAAGTTTTTAAAAATTTTTATAAATCTAAAAAAAAAGAAAAAGAGAAAAATTATTATAAAAAAATAATTTCCTTTAAATTCTTTTTTATAGTAGTTTTATAATAATTAGTTGCAGAAAAACCAGAAAAATATTTGATGATTGTATGAAAAAGAATTTGAATTTAGAACGACCACCATTTGGATATTTTTGTGAAGCTAAAGTACATGATTCACCAAGACCAAAACCATCAAAAGAGAAGACAGAATATCCAGATAAAGTACCTGAGCCAGTAGCTCCACCATATCCTCCTTCAAAATATCAAGGACGTCAAGGTTTTAATATCTAATGTTTGTTAGTATTGTTACAAGTTTTTTTAGTTAAAATATACTACAAACTTAAAAGAACAATTGTCATATAATATGTATTTGTTCTGTATAAAATTGTGAATAAATACAAGTAAACATAATACATACATTGAAAATTAAATGAGTTTTTTATAAATTATAAATTTTTGCATTTTTGTTTATAAATGATATTACAAATTTATTAATTCAAAATTAAAAATTATATTTTTATATAAATACAATATACAAGTTATATCAAGCTATAATTAATAATTCAAACAATTTCCTTTTATAAATCTAACAAGTAGTAAACAAAATACTTCATTTATGAATCATTATATTTTGTTAAAATATATTCAAATTATAAGAGCAAAGCTCATTATAACATTAGTATTCATATATAATTGTTTTAATATTTATGTAATAAATTATTTTCTTATAATTACATTATAAAGAAATTAAAAGATAGGAATGATTAATTTATTTTATACATGTTTTATATGTTTTTCATTAAAATTTTTTTCAATGATATTTAAAACAATTCAATAAAGTCATATTTTTGTTTCTTGATTTTTGAATATTATTTGAAAATAATATTTTACATACTTCAAAAATAAACAAAAAGAAATTTTAGCAAAACATTGGATTTTTTAAATTATATACATCTGATGTAATATAAACATTATGTACACAGTAAGAAGATTTTAGATTGTTCGTGTAATATAATAATACAATAATAGATAATCATTGTTTCTAATTAAATAGAATGAAATATAATTTATTAAAAATCAACTGAATCAAATTCAAAAGTTTTAAATTTTCTAAATTACTATATTATTAATAAACTATATTTATTAAATAAAATATAATAATAAACTCAACTTAGATTTATAAAATAAAAAAAAACTGAAAACCAGATTGCACGAATAATCTAAATCCTTTTTATCAGTCAGTTTGCACAATTCAGTATCCAATAGTCTATAAACACGATATTCTGGAATACTACTCTATCATATTTAACATTTTTAAGTTCATATTCGAAGTAGTTTTTCTGTATATCATAATTCGCATTGCACTTTTTATACAAACGGTGGGTATGAGTTTTGAGGCACTATGCAAATTTCTTATTACATAACAATGCTTATTCAAATTTCACTGTGGAATTTTCTACAAGAAAAATTACAAGCAATAGTTATTCTTTATGAATTCGTTGATACAAATTCGACTTGTAATAATATTTTATAACTAATAAATGTTCATGTCACGTATTTTCAATATAATTAAAATATTCATTCAATTTCAATCAACATTTTGGAAGCAATTAGTTGTTTATATCTAATATAATATTGAATCTTCTGTTAGCTCCATGTTATATCATAACCATTCCAATTTGCACTAGGTGCTAAATGTACTCGTCTTTCTTTATAAAAGAATGTAACCACTCCACGATAGCCAGTTCTTGGTACACCACTCTACAAAAAATTAATTATATTAAATCTAAAAATTGTTTTATTGTAAGATAATACAAATATAATAATAATCTACAATATAACAAGATCTTAAATAAATATATCAATAGCTTTTATTAATATAATATGCTACAATATGATTGCATGAAATTTTTTTTAACACAATCCAAAATTTTTATCTTTTTAGATTTCCATCAATTTATTCCAAAATGAATTTATAATAAAAATTACCTCTGATTAATTTAAATAATAATATAAACTTTTTTATAGAATTGTAATAATTACCCTAAAATCATCCATTAATCCAAATTGTTTAGCAGTATTTTTATATGCTTGTCTAGAATAGTAAGGAATTCGTACAGCACCAGGTGCCACAACTTTTCCATTTTTTAATTCTGAAAAACTTACTACCGTCGATTGGTATACTTCATTAACGAAATTTATATCATAATTGTCCTAAAAATTTTATTTTAAATAAATATCATTTTTAGTCTTATATAATTTTGCATAATCAAGTCAAAATTATTACTAAACACAATTACAGCATTTTTCTTACTTTTAATAAATAAGTTAAATTCATTTTTGTGAAATACACAAATTCAGTGTTTAGCTTGATATATTTTAAATGCCTTTCATAAAACATTCCACTGCAAATAATATATCAATTAAATATAAAATCTTTGTTTTTTTATAAAATAATTATTATTTTTATTAAATAATTATTAAATAAAATAATTTGTTTTTTTACTTAATTGTAATTTAAATTTAATATTAATTTAAATACACACATACTTGCTCACTCCTGTTTTTCCAAATGTTCTAGTTCTAGATATTTCTGGTCGAATACAAGCTCTATTTCGACGTTGTTCAGGCTGTCTTATCCAATCATCCCAATATCTATTAAAATAAATAAATCAGTTTATGAACTTAAAAATAAGTATATGTAATAATATGTAAAAATTTTCTCTCACGCTTTGGGCCATTTCGGTGAGAGTTCTGTCCATAATTGACGCGTTAACATCCAGCCTAATCCAGGAAAAAAGTCTGTTCTATATAATACATCTGCTGCTTTTTCATCAACTAAACCAGCTTTACCATTATCATTCCACGCAGACACGCACCATAGAGAATTATCAGATATTAATAAAGGATATGTGCCCAAAAAATATTCAAAAAAATCTGGGGCAATGTCCAAATCATCTAAATAAAAAATAAATTCAATGAAGCACTTTAGCACAATTTAGTAGAAAGAAATAATTATAAATATAAAAATATAATATACCTTCAACTATTATCACAGTATCATATCTAAGTTGAAAGAATACATAATTAAGAGCCCATCCATAATGACGTGCAATTTTGAAATATCCTTTGAATTTTTTCTCTTTTGGAGGTACTTCAATATCCGATTGATCAGGTTGCTGAAGCATATTTTATATTATAACTATTTTATTCTAATTTAGAATTATTAGAAAAAGAAAAAAATATATATATATAGTACTTGTATATGTATTATTTGATTTCCATATCTAGCAATAACTTCAGCAGTTTGTCGATGTTGACAATCTTCTGAGACAATAATTGGAAATTGTTCTATACTGGGTCTATGTTTGATCAATTGATCTAGACATCTTTGTACAGTAATACGATTACAAGAAAACACCAAAATTGCTATTATTGGAGATCCATCTAGTAACTTTCCTTTCATAGGAACATTATAAGAAGTTTCACTCTATTAAAAATAAAAACAGTAAAATTATTATTATTAAATTATTAAATTTTTTTAACTATTTTTAATTATTATTATATTTAGATTATTATATATAGATTATTATATTAGAATACTTACTGAATACAAAGAGTTTATTTGTATTTGCTGAGCATTTTTATTGTTTTTTTCTATATCTGTTTTTACTTTTTCAAGAAAAATGTTGTCTTGATTCACATGATTTATATCTTTTTGTTTTTTATCTGCATTTGCATTTATAATATCAACTTTTTCTGTTTCAAAAAAATTAAGAATTATAAATTAAATGTTTAAAAATTAAATTCAATTAACAGTTGTGTTATACTTTGAAAAAAAATTACACCATACTTTTTTGTTGTTTATCTTCTTTAATATCTTCAAGAAGTTCCTGATTTAATGCTATTTCTTGTTTCACTCTTCTTTCCAATTTACTAATTTGATTTGATATTCTAGCCTAAAAATAAAATACCATTTAATTGTAATAATTTCACATATTCTTCTAATTTATTGACTTACTATATCCCGTTCTTTAGACACTGGTTGATTAGAAATCAAAAAATATGTAATCAAGCCCCACAGAACAAGAGAGCCGAAAATAACAGTGACTGACCTGTTCCGCATGGCAGGACCAGGTGTCACCTCATCTGAAATATTTAATTTATAATAAAAATGTTTACATTATTAATAATTAAAATCTACATATTCATATATATTTATCAATGAAATTATCAATAAATTTTTACTGATATAAATGTGAATTTATAAAAATAAAGAAAATATTGTTATAAAATTGTTATTTATATTTGAAAATATTGTATTACTTATTAATAATCAAATTTCTTTTATAAATGAAGTTAATACATCAGGTTACGTACCATTATGATATCCACGTAATCTTTTGGCGTTATACGAAAACGAACATTTTTTCGTGGAAGAAAAGCAAGTGTTTTATAAATTTCTTTGATGATTGATGATTTCTTGAAGAAAACAGATGCGTTTATTAAGTTTGTTATATCATCTAGAATTTTAAGTAAAATTATAAAATCTCACGCGCTGACACTGTAACATAAACTCCATTGTTGAGTTACGCGGCAGACGCAGAGAAAATTTGTTCAGCAAGAAAACTATCGCTTTCCCTTGGGAAAATCATCAGAAAATCTTGAATTCATCCGTATGATGGAGCCACGATATAGATATTTCGTTGTAATATTTCGATAATATTTCAAAATTGTGTAATTTCATTTTAAATACATACATATATATATATATATATATGTATGTATTATAATATTAAATAATATATGTAAAATTTAAATTTTTGTTAAAAATATTCCTAAGTTTACTTTAATTATTTAAATGATAATATAGTTATATAATTGAATAACTACATAACCTATAAAAATAATTATATTTAATTTTATAAGTTAATCTTTCTATTTAAATAATACAGAATAAAGTAAAAATATTTCATAATAAAATATTATATAAAAATATATATAAAAAAATAAGAAATTTATCTGTGCATATGTTATAAATAATTTTTAATTAATTTATTTTTCAATTTATTTACAAAAATTTGATATATGAAGAATGGTTCAAATAATGTATTACAAGCTATTTTCTTGAAAATTAATGAAAATATTGATTTTATTTTTTCTTCATTTAAATAATATACTAAAGTTAATCATTTGCAATGTGCAACAAATTTTTTTAAGATAATTTTTTAAAAAAATATTGTGTGATATAATTATATAAATGTAAAAATAAATAAATGTATTTATTTTTTTTAACTTATATAAATATTCTATTTAACTTTCTTAATTCTATCTAGAAATTTATAATTTCTAGATAGAATTAAGAAAGTTACGAAAATAGAGATAATAGAAAATTAAGAGAAAAAAGGAAAAATCTTTCAGACTTTTTTAAATCTGCCGTTATTCTTTTATTATTGGAATAATTTTTATCAAAGTAAATCACATTTAAATAATTACACATTTAAATTATTCTTTTTTATTGTACATTCAGAATTATAGCGAAATATATATTTTTAACGAAATTATATTTATAGTGTAATATTTCAAGAAGAAATAAGACAAAAAATTAATTATTAAAACAATCTTTAAATTTTAAAATGATGTATTTCTAATATCTTTTTATTTCTTGAATTAAGGAAAAGATAAAATTGATATCTTCATTGATTTCCGAGAGAGTATTAGAAAACAATTTATAATATTTTATTTAGACCAACTTATATATGTAAAATTAATTTTGATCTAATAGAAAAAAATAAATAAATAGAAATTATTTTTAAAAAGAAAATTTTTATATTATTTATTAATTATTTTATTACCTATTTATAATAGATAGTATTGATGAAAATTACAAAATCATATCTAATTTATAATGTTAATTTTTAAATTTCGAATAAAATGATTTTTAATTTATAAACTATTTCGATTCATAAAAAATAAAAAAAATCACAATAATAGAAATTAAAAATCTATTGAAATTAAAATGAAATTAAAAGTTATAATAAATAATAGATATAATTTCATTAACTTCCTGTTCAGTAACTGTTTCTTCATTTTTTTTATATTAGATTTAATCATAAAAGAATGTCAAACGATAAAGAAGAGCAATTTAGAACTTATAGAGAAGATAGACGAATTCCGTGTCGATATGGGACTAAATGTTATCAAAAAAATGCAATTCATCTTGAAAAATATAAACATCCACCTACAAAAGAACGGTAAAAATATTAAAGTGTTCTGTCTATTGTCTGTATTGTTTGTAAAATTTGTATTTAAGTTTTATATAATTATATAAATGTATTTAAATTTAATGTATTAGACACATAGTTTGTACTTATTATACATACTTGGACACATATTTTATTAATTAAATATTTGCATATTATTCATATCAATATTATATTATTATATATTAATATTTTCAATATTAATTTATGAAAAAATAGATATATTTTATTATCTATATGATAATTATATTTTTTTATTAAAAATATATAGGAAAAGAAAAAAAATGCAAAACATTCAGAAATAAGAAAAAAAAGAAAAAAGAAAGACAATAATGAAACATCAAATAATTTTCAAAAAAAGAAAATAAAGAAAGAGGAAAATGAAATAATCAATGAAGATTTGCATAGTATTGCAACTACTGTGAAAAATAATATTATTAAAAATAATGATATATTTTGTGAAGTTATCAAACAATCAGAAGATTTAAATCATATAGAATCTATAAAAAATACAAATAATCTAATTACCATTGCATCACTATTAGATTGTGATAAAATTAATATTGAAAATGATATAATTTTAAAAGAAATTCCAAATAATGCAAAAATAATTATTTCTCATTTGTTCTTTACGGAAATGCCAGAAGATTTTTTTTCAGCTTTATGAATTCTGTAAAAATATTTGTGAAAATGATCCTTTAAATGCATTAAATTATTTTCATTTACAACTGGTAGGACCTTATGATATATTTAGAAAAGGATTCATGAATGCTAAAGTTGAAAATAAAGAAGTATTGTTAAAGCATTGGAGATATTATTATGATCCACCAGAATTTCAAGTAAGAAAATATTATATTATTTTATTAATCATGTTATTAATTATAAAATTTTTTTTATAGACAATTATCAAAGATAATAATAAAGATGGTTTGCATTTTGGATATTGGCGAGATGATATTTCAGAACATCCTGTATTTGTAGCAAAAAATAAAGCAGCTATAAATTGTATAATTGAGCCTGTTGCAGAAAATATATTTGGTACATTAGAGTAAGTAATAAAAGTTTTAATAAAATAATATTAATTTTAAAATAATAATTTACTTACTTTATATAGATTATATAAATATTTATATAATTTTTTTATTTACAGTGTTTATTTTGAAGAGAAATTGAAATTAGCCACTCCATTTGAAAAGATACGTATAACTATGTTGCATCAAAAGCTTAAAAGTTTTGCAAAAGAAAAGAAAATAACTTTAGAAAAAAAAACAGCAAATATGCAAGACAGAGAAAAGAAGATTGTTACAAGAACCTTTCATAAAGCTGGCATTGTAGTGCCTTATAATAAAAAAACTCAATTAGGATATAGAGATTTGGCTATAACTGACAGTAAGTTATTATCAATCTAATTAAATATATTGTAATTTAATCTACTATTTTTATTATAGATGAATTACAAAAACTTTTAAAAGAAATAGAATATGCTTCAATACCTGAAGTTAGAAAAAAATCAATGTCAAAATTAGAAGAAATAATACGATTGGCAACAATTGCAGCTGATGAATGTGATTTTGGCACAGTTTTGGAATTAGGCCACGATTTATTTTCTAGTGGTATTTCTTTTGTTCAAAGTAAAGCATTGAATTTAATGTCTCTTGCTTATAATCTTTTACAAAGACCTCAATTTTTTAAAATTGCTGAAGTTCATTTAAAAAAATAGAAGTAAAAGTTTTGATTTAAACGTTATTGAATATGATTAATTATAACAAAATTAATGTGAAAAAATTGAATAAAATTGAAAATTAATAAAAAAAAATTTTAATAAAAATAAATTGTAATTTTTGTAATATTAAAACATATGTTTAATTAATAAATATTTAATCTTTTTTACTTTTTTCAATTTTATTTCTGTAAAAAATATTTTAATTTTAAACTAGATAATTTTAATTTTAAATTACTGTTTAATTAATGAATATTTAATCTTTTTTACTTTTTTTATGTCAATCTGTAAAAAATATTTTAATTTTAAATTAGATAGTGTCATAAGTCCACGTTACATGTTGTGAATATGTGCAGTGACAAATACAAGTAGGACTATGAGCAATGAATGAACTCAAAAACATCAGACAAAAAAGAACTGCAAAAAAAATTATTCAGGATGGTTCAAACAAGAGGTTATATTATAATTTTGTTTCGCATTAAAAAATAAATTCTTCATTCAAAAACACAATGTCTTTAATTGAAAATAATAATTCGCATGATTAGACAAGAATGAGATTAAAAGAAAACTAATAACGTGCAAAATCGTGTACCGAACGGATTTTAATGTCTATAGTTATAATTCTTGTTAATCAACAGCAATCGTTTAAACGTTTGCGATGGAAAGTAAAAGCTGCAATAATTTCATAAGTTACGTTGGTCTGGAGGAACACGAGATGCAGGTAATTATCAAATGTATTTTTATGTAAACATTCAAACATAACCTTAATTTTAAATAATAAATATTTTAATTTGGTATTTATAAAATTGTTTATATTTCTAATTATTGAATTAAATAATGGTTTAATAAATTATATGTAGCCGCTAGGTTCTAGTCGACGTAATTCATTATCCGAGAATAATATTAAGTTGTTACCTGGTGAAATCTTCATCACCAAAGCAGAAAATGTTCTTATGTTCTCACCTGTTAGTGATTTAAATCAAGGAACATCTGGCATTCTATCTGTTACAAATTTTAAACTCACTTTTGTTACAACTGATGACACAAATGGAGAAGTAAATAAATATTATAATATTTACAAAATATTCTAATAAATATATTGAATAATTGAATAATCATAATTTTCTTTTAATTATTGTATATAAAACAATATATAAAACATAAATATAGAATATTTTATTTATAGGATGTGGCTCGTCAACAGAATCATCTTTATGGATATATGGACACATGTTTAACAAATATAGAAGATATTTATGTAACTATAGGAGATAAAAAAAGAAAATTAACACCTGGAAATATTGTACCATCTAAAATAAAAGGAATATTTATTATTTGTAAAGTAATTATTTATAAATGTTATAGATAATATATTATTCTTTCTATATATTTGTTTTAATTAAAAAATATGTTATGGATTTTAGAATTTACGAACATGGTCTTTTTCTTTTAAATTTTCACCTATTGGAGATGGAAAGAATCTTCTACAAGCATTACTGCATCATGCTTTTCCTAGCAGACACCAATTACTTTTTGCTTATGATTATCAGTTAGTGATTTGAATAAATATAAAATAAAAATATTTCATATTAATATTAAAAGCTAAAAAATTATTTATTCTTCTTTTATTTGATTTCAGAGAAGCATATTATAGTAGTTTAGATAAAGCTGTTCGTTTATTCCAAGATATCTCAGATTGGTACAATGAATTAGAACGTACCATATGTAATGAGAAATTCAGAAAATTCTGGAGATTATCTACTGTTAATAAGGATTTTAAACTTTGTCGTAGGTAAATGCAAATAATTATTAAATACTTTACTATATCTAAAATAATATATAATAATGTAAAGTATTTTTACAGCTTATCTCGATATATAATTATACCAGCTTCAATTAGTGATAGTCAGTTAATGGATGCAGCTAAGCGCTTTCAAGGCAACCGTCCACCAATTTGGTCTTGGTCGAATGCGCATGGTGCAGCATTAGTAAAAATGTCCGAACTTTCACCGTTAGTTACCAGTAGAATACAAGAAAATATAATGTTTGAAAATGTTCGTAAAAGTCATCCTGAGAAATCGCCACCAATTGTTTTAGAGTTGAATAAAGGCATTAGTATAAAGTTAATAGCTATAGCATTTTCAAAATTTGCTTGTTTATGTTCACCAGGTAAATTAAATTTATCATTATTATTTTAAAATCATAACTTATTCGAATAATATTATAAATATTCATTATTCATTTCAGAAAATATTCGGCAGTTTTGGTTACAAGATAATAATTTTTATTCGTTAGTAGAAAATACAAAATGGTTAAAGTATGTATCATACTGTTTGCAGAAAGCTGTTGAAGCCTGTGAGCATCTTCATTCAGGAGTTTCTGTTATATTACAAGGTAACAATATAATATAATTTACTTTTTAATATCATTTTAATAAAATTAATTTTTAGAAGGTGCTGGTACAGATCTTTGTTGCATTATATCGAGCTTAGTTCAATTATTACTTGATCCTTATTTTCGAACTATAAACGGATTCCAATCTCTTTTACAAAAGGAATGGGTTGCTAGTGGCCATCCGTTTTGTGATAGATTAGGCCATATTTCTAAGAAAACTTCAGAGAAGGTATATTAATTTAACTCAATTTTAATTACTTATAAATTAGCAATTATTATTTTATTATTTGTTATTTTTGTAGTCTCCATTGCTTCTTTTATATCTTGATTGTATTTGGCAATTGAGTCAACAATTTCCTGGGGAATTCGAATTTACGGAGACATATTTAACTACTTTGTGGGATGCTGCTCATGTTTCTATTTTCGATACATTTATTTTTAATTGCGAGAAAGATCGAATTGCGGCAGCTACGGTAATTTATTTAAATATTTAAGTATTTAAATATATATAATGATTTTCTAATCAAAATCTAAATCTTAAGAAAAATGATATTTAAATATTAACATTTAAATAATATTTTTTTTAGGATCCAGAAAAGCCACTTGTTCTTAGGAGCGTATGGGATTGGAGGGAACAATTTAGTGATCAAGATATTTTATTATTTTATAATCCTTTTTATAATCCCCGTGAAATGGATTCTAAAGAAAAATTTGTGATAAAACCCTTGTATAATATTGCAAATCTAGAATTATGGACTCAATGTTATTTTCGATGGATACCAACATTGGAGATACATAATGGCGGAGAGAATCATATTGAACTTTATGCAAGATTGCTACAGAACGATGTAAATCAACTGAAAATGAATATAAACGACAATTGTGGCTCACCTACTGGTAAATCAAATAGTTATTCCGTTCATATGAATATTGATAGTTTTTATCCATTTTCAAACAAAAAGTCAGGAAATATAGTAAGCACACCAATCATGAATAACTCCATTCTTGCAACAAAAAGCTTACTAGAAGCGCAGTCTTTAATTACTGCAACTGACTGATGTACATATTTCATTAATATTTTTTTAAAATTGTTAAAAAGAATAAAAAACACTATAATAATATAGTATAGTAATTATATGAAAATTAGCAGAAATATCAGAAAAAAATTTTTTTAATCCTTTTAGTGCCAAGTTTATATAGTATTTGTATAAATGTTTTAAGTGACAAATTATATTCTGTTTTTGATTTATATTATAAATTTAATATTCATATTATTTAAATATTCATATATAGAAATTTAAAATGTTTTTTAAAAATTATTATTGATTTGTTCATTTTTTTTTACTTTGGTACTTAAAGGATTAAATATTGTGAAATTGCATTTTGATTATAATACGAGAGTTTTTCTTTTTATATTTTAAGTTATATTGTAAAATAGTAAAATTAAGAAAATATTTAATAACAAATTAATGTTATAAATTAAATAATAATGGAATTATTTTTTGTAGAAAAAATTATGTATAGTCTAGTAAATTTTTTTAACCCTATTATTCCCTATTTATCTTTACAAAATTAAATTTACTAGATAAATTTACTATAAAGGAAATATTAATAATATCTACGTTGGTAATATTGGATAATAGCTAATTTTTCGAACTTTCTAAAAAATACCACGTAAAATACTTTTTATTAATAATGAATATTACGAATAATAAAAATAATAAAAATAATTCTGTATTAAAAAGGACGAAAAAGATAAATTCTATATTAGAAGAAAGAAATATAAACAAAATTATATTTTATGTATTAATTCTCGTCACATGTTTTAAAATACTTCTAATTCCCATATAGTATGATTTTTTATACATTTAAACAAATTATTAAGCATTTATGTACTATATATTTATTACAGTTTATACTTTTTTTGTAATAATTTGAGTTTATTTATACTATTTGATTTTTAGTCGTTCTACGGATTTTGAAGTACATCGAAACTGGCTTGCTATAACACATAATTTACCATTAAAAGAATGGTATGTGAATACTAATTCACAATGGACTTTAGATTATCCACCATTATTTGCATGGTTTGAATATTTTCTCAGTCATATTGCAAGATTTATAGATCATGACATGCTGAAAGTGGAAAATCTGAATTATGCATCATTTAATACTATACTTTTTCAAAGAGGGTCTGTTATAATTTTAGATTTAGTATTTACTTATGGAGTTAAAGAGTAAGTTTTTAATAGTAATAACATATGAAAGATATATGTATATTTTTAGAGTTCATTTTATATTAAATTCTAGAATTGGAAAAGTATTTTGCAGTACTTTTGATGAATATGTTATGTTCATAGTTTTTTCTTTATGCAATATGGGATTGTTGATAGTAGATCATGTACATTTTCAATATAATGGGTTCTTACTTGGTATTTTTCTACTTGCTATTGCAAATGTTTCTAAAATAAATAAACAGGTATGTAAACAAAAATATTTTATTTTGATAAAAGAATTAAACAACTTATTTTTTAGATGTCTATTTTATATGGAACATTGTGCTTTGCCTTGTTATTAAATTTAAAACACATTTATTTATATGTTGCACCAGTGTTTATAGTATGGTTACTTAGATCATATTGTATGAACGATGGCTCATTTTTTAAACGTTTGTTCATACTTGGAGGCATAGTTTTTATTACTTTGATAATTTCATTTGGTCCATTTGTTTCACAATTATCTCAGGTAAATAATTATATTGCATATGATATTATCTTTTTCTTTATTGATTATAATTATCTTAGGTAATTTCAAGGTTATTTCCATTCAAAAGAGGATTAGTACATGCATATTGGGCAGCAAATGTTTGGACATTATATATAGCTATAGATAAAATAATATTTTTAATTTTAAAAAATTAAAATGGCTAAAAGTTACTAGGTTAGCAGTAATGACAGCTGGTTTAGTTCAAGAACAATCATTCTTAGTTTTACCAACTCCTACTCCAATTATAACATTTTTATTAACCATTTTTTCAATGATGGTAAATATCAAATTGTTTATTTATTAGTATTTAATAATATATTAATATATTATTATATTTTTATATATTAAAAAATTATATAAATTACAGCCTGCATTGTACTGTTTATTATATAAAAAAGAATATTTTACAAATTCAAAACAATTTGTACGATGTTTAGTTCTATGTGCTTTAAGTTCTTTCATATTTGGTTGGCATGTACATGAAAAAGCTATTTTAACTGCTATCATACCAATGTGGTAAGTAAAAAATAAAACTAATGAAATAAAATTTTATAAACAAGTTTTATATTTTCTAGTGTATTGGCAACAACAAACAAAAATGATGCTAGAATATACTTAATTCTGAGTAGTGCTGGACATACTGCTCTTTTACCTCTACTTTATTTAAATAATTTAACTCCATTAAAAATTTTGTCACTTTTGGTATATATAATTGCAATTTTTTTAGCTTTCTGTCAAAAATTCAATTTAGATTTACTTTCTTCATATGAATATATATATGTATTCACTTTACCAATATTAATAATATATGAAACAATAATACATAAAATAATATTTGGAGAAGCATTACCATTTTTACCTCTAGCACTTATTTCAATATATTGTGCTATAGGAATAATTTATTCTTGGATTCTTTATTATTATATGTTTTTACAATATAATAAAATTTATAACCAAAAAAAGAAAGTAGAATAAAATTTATATTTTGCATATGATATATTTATTGTATTTCCCAATTTTTTTAACCTTATAATATTATTACAAAAGTTACATGAATGTTAATTATAATCTTGTTGAAAATATTTTATGATTGCAATTTTAATATAAAATTATAATCAATATATATATTACATTATCAACAATTAATCAATAATTATAATATTAAAATTTTAATTAAAATTGAATGAATAAAATGAGGATTATAAGTCAAAATTATAAATTTTATATAATTTTTTATTCAATTATTTAATACAAATTTTTATATATTCTATATCAATTATTTTTATTTTTAATTATATTAACATTTTTAAATATAATATTTTTGTTGGACTTTTTAATTTTTATAGAATATTCACAATATTTTTTGTTTGAAAGTATTTATTAATCTACGTAAATTAACCTATATAAAACGAATATATATAAGTATTTTTACCTCTCTATTATTTACAAGATAGCAAATGATAAACATGGCGGCTTGGATTCCTAAAGTCATACGTACGACAAGTAAGTTTGTTAATTTCAATTGTTTATCATTTTATTTACAATGATATTTCGATAATAATAATATAATTGTTGCAATGCTAAAATATATATTATTTATTTATAATATATATTATAAATACATCTGTATTTATTATAATTATGTAACAATATTAATTTAAATCAATATATAGGAAATCAAAATATATATTCTGTCAGTTATGCGATACAAAATAATTACTCATCAGAACCAAGAATTATTAAAAATCCTACTACAGCCAGCTTAAAAAGAGGTACTGGTGGCCGTAGCTCATTTAATGGCATAGTTTGCACAGTATTTGGATGTAGTGGTTTTATTGGATCTTCATTATGTATTAGATTGGGAAAGATTGGAACCCAGGCAAGATATAAATATTATTAGTATTTTGAATTATAGATTGAAATTATATTTATGCTAAATATTTTTTTACAGCTTATTCTTCCACATAGATGCGATCACTATCATATTCGAGAATTAAAAGTAGGTGGAGATCTTGGACAAGTTCTTTATCATCCATTTGATCTTAGAGATGAGGAATCTATAATCAGAACCATAAAATATTCTAATGTTGTTATTAACTTAATTGGTTCAAATTATGAGACAAGAAATTTTAGTTTTGAAGATGTACATGTAGAAGGAGCAAGAACATTAGCTAAACTTGCTAAGCAGTGTAATGTAGAACGTTTCATTCATATGTCATGTTTGAATGTGGAAGAAAAACCTACAGTAAGTTAATTTAATTATCTTAATGGAAAAAATAATATACTTAATGGAAAAAATATATCAAGATCATAAATTTAATTAAGTGATATTCAGAATTGTTTTGTTTTTATTAAAATTTTGAGCACTTATTTTTATGACTTTATTATATAAATTTTAATGTCTAATGATTTGATATATTATTTAAAATAATGACTTTTAATAATGATGCAAATCTTATTTTCTTTTTAGCCAATCATATTGAAAGAAAGTTCAAAGATATTAAAAACAAAATGGAAAGGAGAACTTGCTGTGAAAGAAGAATTTCCAGAAGCTACTATAATTCGACCATCAGTTATATATGGACACAAGGATAAATTTATAAGTCATTATATGGATCAAAACAGGCTAATCTTAAATGAGTACATAATTGTTTATAAATTATATAAAAATATAAATCACAATATTAATGATATGTTTATTTTTTAGATTACCTCTATGGAATAAAGGAGAAAAAACTGAAAAACATCCAGTATCTATTCATGATGTAATTTCAGGTATTGTAGCGATCGTAAGAAATTCTGATACTGCCGGAAAAACTTACCAATTTGTTGGGTATGTATTATACATTGTTATGTTATTAAAACTTTTTATATACATAAGATAAAAATTTAAAATATTATTTTAGACCAAAACAGTACAAATTAAATGAGTTAGTTAAATGGATGTTTGATGTAAAATTCAAATATTTCGAAAATAACATAAAGATAGTTGACATGAAATATAATCCATATGCTTGGTTAAAAACTACTCTTAGAGAATATATATATGCAGTACATCCTACAACAGACATGTTATGGGAAGTATTAGAATGTGTAAGTGTATTTGAAATTTTTAATTCATTTAAATCATTATGCATTGATTTTAGAAATAGAAAATATATTCATTAAATTTCATTTAGCATCATATCAGTGATAAAATAGATTCTGCTTTACCAACTTTGGAAGATTTAGGAATAACACCAATTGATTTACAAACTCGAATAGAATGGGAAATTGCTCCATATATACAATACAAGATGGAAATAGAAAATTTACAAAGAATAATTCCACCTAATGTGAAGTCTATACCAAAATGAAGTGCTTATATTTATAGTTTATAAAAAATTAATTTTGTGATTAAATAAAAAGCGAACATAAAAAAAAATTATTTCGATTTTTTATATCAAATTTACATTAAAATATTTATTTTATTATTTTATATTGTTTTTATATAATAATTATTGTTAATTTTTTCTATCATTTATTAAATGATAGATCATTTTATTATTTATTAATATTATAAATTATTGTTTATAATATTTATTAGATTATTCTAAATATAAGAAAAAGTTACAGAATTTATTTTCGTTATACGTTATATAATGAATAGTAAAAAATATATGTTAGTTTGGTCCTCGGTAATTATGCTAACTAAAATGCAGATTTTACATTTAAAGAACTTTTTTTTTTTGTTGTATTTAAATATGTACAGATTTTTTTATCTAACTAAAATTTCGATAAAAAATATATTAATAATTACATGATCTAAAAATTTAAATAATTAATTAAAGAAAATACTTATAAAAACATGATTTAAATCGTAAAATGATAAAATTAGATTTTTTTATTAGAATATTTTTTTTACATAAAAAAGACTAATATAAAATTCACATGGCAAATTAATGTTCAAAGATTTGAAAAATTTTTAATTAATTCCTTAAAATTAATAATAAAAAAATTTTATAAAAAAAGACATCTAAAATTTACAAAAAAATCAAATCTACAAATTTAAAAGAAATATTTTTCCAATAAGAATTAAATTCTCGTAAAAAAAAGAACATAGCGCTATTATATTAATTCCTTTCAAAATGATTTTACTTGCAAATTTTACTTTTTGCCAAAGAATTCTTATATAAATTGATTACTTATATTATTATATTCTACATACTTTCATTATCGTTGATATAAATTATTTAATTCTGATCATTTTTATATAATCAAAGATATAATAAAAAATTATATAAAACATTTAACAAAATTTCCTTAATATAATTAACATATTGGAAATAAACATATTATATATATTATCTTAATATTAACAAATATTTCAAAAACGATTAGGAAACAAATTTCTTATATATGAGTAAGTGAGATAATAGGAAAATTGTAAAATATTTAAATTGATATTGGTTTAAATTTAAAAAAAATAATCTACAATCAAAATTGTTGATAATGTATTTTTTAAAGATACTTCTGTAATAAATCTTCAGACTAGATTAAAAATAATTTAAGGGATAGGTTAAAAATAATTTAATAAACAAATCGTTTATTTGTGAATTCGCTTCTATAATTTATAGAATAAATTTGAAATGAATGCAATTTTGCTAGCTCAAATATATGGGCTAGTTAAAGCTCATAGTATGCTTAAAATTGTACGAGTATAATAATCGAATGGAAAAAGTTTCTTTACAATGATTTCATATGATAGAAGTGCAACAATATTAAACATCTATTAAAATTGCTATTGATATACTTTATTTCGTATAAAATAAGATTGAAAAAAATTTTAATTTTAAGTTATTTATATTATGTCAATGCTCTATATTATATATATGAAAATAATTTAAAGTAAAAAAAAAAAAAGTATCAAAAATTTTCATTTCAGTACTGAAAAATATTATTATATATTAGGATATCAAATATATTAAATATCACTAATCTCTTCAATAAGTTAATTATTAATAATTAATGTTTAACGAGCTAAAATCGATGATTTTATTGAAGAGATTAGTAATTTCAAGAAATTAATTGTTGCTTCATTTTTCGTTTTTAAATTCGATAATTTATAAAAATAACAAATTAATAATATTAAATTTTATATCTTAAAATAAATCATAAAATAGCTAAAACTGTTCCCATTATTAATTACATTTCAATGATATGCATCTGAATCTTATAAAGCTGATCTTAATTTATTGGAAGAAATTCATGGAGAACAAAAGAATGAGGAATAAAGTGATTGGCAATGTAAAAATTCCAACAACTCCAGAACCCAAATTATCTTGGACGACATTATCATAACATTTGGCAATTAGACCAAAATCCACAAAATTCATCGGTTTTCCATTGTATTCAATTGGAGAGATACAATAATTTTTTTTCTGAAACTCGGTAATAGTGCCATTGACAAAATCGCTTTCCAATACATTATGAGCTTGACAGTCACAAGGAAAATGGTTATCGATAGCGCTAATAGAGTTCACTTCTAAATTAATGTCTCTGGCATGACGAGGTGCTTCCAAAACATGATTTCCATGAAATCTCAACATTTCTATACTATTTTCATATTGTAGAAACAATTTTTCGATTAGATCGATTTTGTTGTTTAATATATTCAGTCGATCAACATGAACAAGTCCAGTGAAGGCGTCCTTTTCAACGATACCCAAGTCACTTTCCTGAATATTCAATGAATGCACATAAGATAAGCCACGGAATGTATAAGATTGCAGGGAAGACAAGTCCATATAAGTTAATTTTAAAAGTCCAACATGTTGTAAGCCATCGAATGCATCTGGTTCAATAGTTCTTATTCCTGACGGAAATATTAAGCGAACTATATTTGTTACACCTGAAAATGCATGACTCTGGATTCTGAGTAATGGGTTATTGCTCAATAGTATTACACGAATGTTGGATGTACCGGCGAATGAATAACCCTCGATATATCGTATTTTATTATTTGCCAATAATAATACTGATACGTTTTGTAAAGTTGCGAACGAAAATTTTTCGATAAATGGTAAAGGTGTATGCTGAATAGAAAGTTCGCGCAATTTATTTAAACCTCGAAATGCGAATGGACGTATTGTCGATATATTATTACCATCCATCGTTAGTTTCCGTAACAGTTTTAAGCCAGCAAACGCATCTCCTTTTATTATTGGAAAATTGTTTTTCGTTAAGGAAAGTTCCTCTATTGTCTGAGGTAACTGTTGGGTGGGAATGTCTTTTAGCCCACCTGTATTGCAGAGAACCTGTAAAATTAATTCAATAATATTTTTGCTAAAAAAATTGAAAAAAAATATAAAAAAAATCTTTATTGATAAATTATTATATAATTATATCTTATTTATGTAGCTAATTAATTTCTCATAATTCTTTTTTCTTAGAATTTCAATTATCAATCCATGCTAATTTTTTAAAATTGTATTAAAATATTTAAATATAAAATAATAACATATAAATTTATTGTATATATTATATAGTTCTGTAAAGTTTTTAATTAAAATTATTTTTTTTATAAAATAAGTTTTTTACCAATTTTTTTAAATATTAATATAATTCTTATGATTTTTATTGTTTTTTAAAAGTACAATATAATTGTATTTTTCATTTTATAAATATCTTTACCTGTTTCGGAGAAAGACAAATACATTCTGCAGAGCAATCCCAATTTTTCGTGGTAGTAGTTTCTTGTTCTAAAGTAAACTTTAAACTCAATGTCACTATCCACAGCAGGTAATAAATGCAGATCTATAAAAAAATAATAAAAAAAATAAATAAATAAATAAAAAATATAAGATAAAAGAAATGAAGTTACACAACAATTTTTTTTAAATATGTAAATGCACATAGGAAATGCGAACATGATTTCATACACGCGAATTATCTCATTTGTACCTGCGCTCTGCAATACATCAATTCCAGAGTTTTTAGGGCGCATGCCTCAACATCCAGGAAAACGTCGCAAGTAACTGTCGATGTTCCAATATATTCTGAAAAATGTTAAATCCTAAAAAAACATATTTCAACATATCTTAAATTAAATTTATTAAATTCGTTTACTTATTTTATGTATGATTGAGATCGAGGATGAAAATACAAATATAAAAGCTTATAAAAGCTTACCAAGAAGAAGCAAATTGATTCGGATGGAAATCCTATCATTAACCGGGAGAACGAAACACCAGGAAAATTTCGCAATCCGTGGCCGCATTCACCGGCTGGGCTCGGGGCTTTATTTCTCCTTAGCCAACTACCCCCACCTCCATTGAACGATCTGCGCAAGCCCATAATTATTCTCTCCGTGCGCGTAGTCTGGAATAAGACTTATTAGAGGTACTGTGTGGTATAACTAGAATGATGCATACTGACCTAGGAAATCTGACATAGTGTATAGTTTTTGATTGCTGATAATTATAAAAGTCGATGCATTGATAATTCTATTTTTCTATTTCTTTTTATCTTTCTTTTGTTCTTTTCAATTAATTCTATTTCTTTATGATTTTTTTTATTTTTTTTATCTATTTTTGTCTTATAGCTATCTGATTTTTACTATCTTTTTCTGATTCCTTTCGTTTCTTTCTGATCTCTTTCTTTCGTAATTTTATAATCTTTTCTCTAATTTTATAATCTTCTTTCTTTTTTCTTTAATACATGATTCATCTCGTTTTGTTGATTTTGCTTATCTTTTTCTTATTTTTTTCTATTTATTATTATTATTTTTTTTTTTGAATTTCTCTTTTTCTTTTTGATTTTTTTTATTATTTTGTAATTTTTCTTTATTTTTTCTAATTTTGTCCTATACTATTTCTCTTTATTGTATTTCTCACTAGTAAAATATTTCAACTAAGATAAAGTAAAAAAAAGACTGTAAATCAAAATATAATGAAATGATTTTTGAAAATGAGTGATTACAATTATTAGTAATTGAGGAATTTGAAAACGTACTTGATTGTAAGAATTTGATAATGATTAATATTATTATAAGATATAAAATAATATAAAATAAAAAATATACATATTGAGATATAAGATATTAAAGATACTAAAATCTTGTTTTATGTAATTATAATATATTGTTGTTTGATTGCTTGTTTCGTGATTTAATTGAAATTTGTGACTATATTGCATCATTATATATTATATATTGAAGATATTATATATATATATGAAAATCAAGAAAAGGTAAATGAATTTTTGTGGAAAATTTGAAGAATTTTCTCAATTATTAAAAATTCACCGGTTTATTATTAAAGAAGAAACTTAGTATCTATTCGCATACAAAGATAAACAGTTTCTTTACGAATTTCTTACAATAATATATTTCATAACAAACTTGTATACAATTTTAATAACATAGATTCACATAACAGAAATTTCGTATTATGTGACGGAAAATTTAAAACATAGAAACTTATGATTAATTAAAAGTGCAATTTTTATGTATGTGTGTACATATGTATATATGCATATGTATATGTATACTTGTTTTTGTGAAAAGTTCCAATGTCAAAAAAAATTCAGTCTTAAAAAATAATACGATAATAAATTATATACGATAAACAAAAGACAATTTTTTCCCTCTTCTCCGCAATTTTTTTAAAATCATAATTATATACAATCTTAATCTGATTAATATTAAAATTTTTAATTTTCATAAGGCATCAATAATACATAATAATTAAGATTTATATTATATACATATAAAAACACAGTTTTCAACGCTAGATCATTTTATTAAGTTTGATCTACTTAAAAATTTCGCAATTTTATAATTTTATAATTTGTTAAGATTTTTTGTTTTCTATTTTTTTTTCTATTACTCTAACTTCAATATTTCTTTTTAATTTATGGATTCTTTATATAGATTTTGAAATTTATTTGATATGTTTTTGAGCACCTTCTATTTTAATATTATATACTTTCTCTTTTTGTTTCAAACATATTATTTTTATATTTGTATAATTTTTTAAATATTTTTCACTCTAAGTATTCATTTTAATTTTTATATTTCTTTAATTGTAATTAACTATTCTTTGTTTATTTAGGCACATTATATATCTTTTATTTATATCTATTTTTTAATTTTATTTGTTTTTATTAGTATGATTATAATATTAATAACATAATATGGTATTAACTTTTGAACTTGTCAAAAAATTACTTTCTCATAGATTTGAATAAGATTTTCCTTAATTACTTTCCGTGAAATATATCTAATGAAAAAAAAAGGATGGATTCTAATTCTTGACTTTGAAAAAAACAGATAAAAATTAATATGTATTCACATGATCAAAATGTCATTGTCAAATTAATTTTAATAATATTGGTATAAAATGGCTAACTATGCTACTGTAAATTAATTTTCTTTTATTTTTTTTAACATCATTAAAGTTAGTTTAATTATTTTTTTATTGTTTATATTTCATAACAAAGTCATTTAAAAAAAAAATCTCATCATTAAATCTATGAGAAAATAGCTTTTAACATATTTAATCACTCAATGTTTATTGTAATCAGTCATTTTTATATATATGCTTTGCATCCTGGTCATTAAAATCAAATTTTATTTACTTATAAAAAAAAATCTATATAAAAAATTCTATCTTTACATGAAATGAATAGAAAATAATAACACTCATTTGTTTATATCAAAATAACAAAAAACTTAATGACAGCATTTCTTCCAAAAATGATAAGAATTGCAATATAGTCAATTTATAAAGTGAAATTTCAATCAGAATGCAAAACATAGTATTATTTTATTTCATAATCGCATTGTGATTAATTTGCAGCAGCGATTTTCAACCATTGTGTCCAACATTTTTTAAAATATCTCATATACATAAGTCAAAAAAAATAATAAATAACTATTGTTCTAAATAATCTTGAGTATATTATATTTTTAATATAAATTATCATAAATAAATGAAATTTCAAAAAAATTTTTTAAAAGTAAATTAGACAAAATTGTCTTAATAATGAAAAAAATAGTTATTTTATTTTCATTTTATTGCAATAATAAAAAAAATATTTTTTTAAATTAATAAAAAATGTATAGTTTTTGTTATCAATAAAAAAATATACTATATTTTTTGAATTATATTTGTATTATGGAATTTTAGTTGTTTATGTGCAATGAGATAAAAAGGTTAAAAATCGCTGGATTACAGGTACAATATTATAATTCTATTATAAAACCATCATGAAATTCTCGTTTCACCTGAATCTTATACTTATAGAGATAATTATTTGAATTTCATTTACATTCTTCAATTCTAATAAAAGAAAATTATAAAATATATAGAAAAAAAAATATTCAGGCAAAATTCATTTAAATAAAGCAATTTCAAGACAGTTTTTCTTTGTACTAATTGGTGAGTATTTTTATGTCAAATAATGGCACAGTGAAATTTGTCCAGATAGTAATACAATTAAAAATAATGAACAGTTTTCATGGAAAAAAAACAACAGAACAATAGTAGAAATCTCTTATATTTTAATATGAACAAATTTCATTGTATAAAAACTGAATAGAATTTTTTATTCTTTCTGTTTGTACTTTCTAAAAATGAGATCTTATAGTGACTGGTATCAATTTTTAAAAGAAAGTATATAAGCTTAATAACTTTTCAGTTTATAACTATTAACTATGAAAACTCTATATTGTTTTTATGTTATAAAAATCTTTTTTTTCCGTTGTATGATAAATATTTAGCACATATTGAACACATTTAATAACTTATTTTAAATGCAGTTACAAGAAACATCAAATTGAAACTAATGCTTGAAACTAATTATATATAATGTTCAAACTAATAATTTAATAAAGATATTTTATGTGAATATATTTAAATTTGTATTAGTATTTAAAGATCAAATTTCATTTATGAAATTTTTCACAAATGATTTAAATTAACTCAATTATTTAATAAACATAGTTGTTTAATTGTAACTAATAACTTAAAACCAAAAATAGACATTATGTATCATTCATTTAATATGATTAATATATCATATATCATATAAGTTTTGATAAAAATTGATGTATTAAAAAAAAAATTCTAAATTAATTTAAAAATTATTTTATAATAAAACATTGATTTTAAATAGATGATTTGTAAATATATCATTTGGCAGAAGTGGACAGTATAAATGGACAGATAAATAATTAGTTTTATAATTCAATAAAAATTTTAAAAAATATTTGTTTCTCAAGAGCAAATGATATAAAATTCAAGTATATCAATTTATAGAGAAAATCGAAAATTGTAGTTAATTCTATTTTTTATAGTAAGTAAATTGTCTATAATTAGCTTATTTATAATTATTTTATAAATTGTTATATCCAGCCATTGATTATATTAACATATTTAAGGACATTGTAACTTTTATGCTTAAAACTATTAAAATTTATATCTGTTCATAATATATTTTTTATAATTATATATATATATATATGCTCTATATATATATTCTTTTGTTGTGTATACGTACATAAAATACACGTTGTAAAATAAAACACGATTTCATCAAATTGGTAACGCAGATTCGGCTCTATCAGTCTTAACGTTAATAATGAACAATATTGTTCGTTGTACGATGAGGTAGTTCGTTCTATTGTGTGTAATTATTATGCATTAATATTGAGCAATATTGCAGCTGTATCCCAGGGCCATTGATCAGTAACGATAATGTAATCTTATAATTACTAACAAGTTAACAGTGATATCTTCAGTCAATAACATGAAATTATTTGAATTGTATAACTCTCTAACCTCTTTTTTTCTTTCTTTTTGTTTTCTCTTAGATTTTATATATTTCGTATATATAATAATATTTTATTGATAGCATTTAATGCTAAAAATAGGAAATTTTTCTTAAAAGAAAAAAGAATTAAAAACAAAATGTTCAAAATAATGTATACTCTTTTTTCCTTTTTTCTTACGCGACATTATAATCTAAAAAAATTAATTAAGATTCTAAAATAGTACTACTAGGTAGATTGCAAAACGAAAAAAATGAAAATATTGAATCACAATGATTAAAATTAATTTAAAAAAAACATGCATATTCATACATTGATTCAAAAATGTTTAAAGTTTAATGCGATTTCGAAAATATTTCGCATATTTTTACAAAAGATCATATATTAATTATAATTAATTATAAATATGAAAAAATATATACGATCAATTTCATTAAATATTTGAATATGAATATTTTTATTAAATGTGATTTTCTTTTCCTTAATAACTTTCAAACAATAAATATTATATACTTGTAAGTTTATAATATATAAAATATTATTATAAATCGGGAAAGCAATATATTCTATGATCTTTAGCATTAAACTTTAACAATTTTGGAACTCAATCGATTACTCAGTCTCTTGAATCCATAACATATAAATCAGTCTTGTGTAAGGTAATCCGAGAAGAGGATTTAAAAACCT